TTATGATTTCTCTGTCAACCCCTATCTTATGATTTCTCTGTCAACCCCTAAGTTATAATTTCTCTGTCGACCCCTATGGTATGATTTCTCTGTCAACCCCTATCTTATTATTTCTCTGTCAACCCCTATCTTATGATTTTTCTGTCAACCCCTATGGTATGATTTCTCTGTCAACCCCTATCTTATGATTTCTCTGTCGACCCCTATGGTATGATTTCTCTTTCAACCCCTATGATATGATTTTTCTGTCAACCCCTATCTTATGATTTCACTGTCACCACCTTTGGTATGATAAGGCAACACGCTTAAAGAAACAATCAAGGAAAATTAATTAAGACGTCAAAATCAGCTGTCGACTGGAAAAGTAAATTTCAAATCAGGATAAAAGCACAGGTTGCACCAGCTGATAACTATTGCATTCAACTTTATGACTGATATTGAAGAAGGGATCATCTCCTATCTTGAAGGTATTCCTGATTGAGATTTTGAGCGTCTTGTCCTCTGCTTTAGCATGTCTCGGGTTAGACAATAAAGACTATCACCTCTCAGGCTTATCTTTTCTTGCATATCTCAAGGTAGGGAATATTATATTACTGATTCACAAATCAAACAGGAGGAAGCATCACAGGTTTTAGGATGTTTCTACAGCTTCAAACGAAAATGAAAAACAGGCAAATATAGCAATAGGTTTTGTTAGTCCATGTTATTACATCTGTAATCAGGATATTCCAAAGGGAGATTTAGTGAACTTCAAAGATAGTTAATACATATAAAACAATAATGATAAATGCTTGTTACTCACGAATGGTAATTAGTTATTTTTTCTTTATGAACTGGTATAGGTAATGATAAGTTATCACGTGCTATACATTCTAAACTCTTTTTCGTGGTAGTTGATGTATTATGTGTAGCATCATATCTGTGTGGAGGGTAACGTAGTATTGTATAGTATTGATGCGATCTATTTCCATTGACCTATAGATGATAATACCTGACGTGCGGAAGGAGTTCGTGGAGGAGTTTATTTGGCCAGCAGTCCAGGCTAATGGAGCAGCGTACGAGGATAGATACCTCCTGGGTACCGCCCTGGCTCGGCCGTGTATCGCAAGGTAAGGATAGATACCTCCTGGGTACCGCCCTGGCTCGGCCGTGTATCGCAAGGTAAGGATAGATACCTCCTGGGTACCGCCCTGGCTCGGCCGTGTATCGCAAGGTAAGGATAGATACCTCCTGGGTACCGCCCTGGCTCGGCCGTGTATCGCAAGGTAAGGATAGATACCTCCTGGGTACCGCCCTGGCTCGGCCGTGTATCGCAAGGTAAGGATAGATACCTCCTGGGTACCGCCCTGGCTCGGCCGTGTATCGCAAGGTAAGGATAGATACCTCCTGGGTACCGCCCTGGCTCGGCCGTGTATCGCAAGGTAAGGATAGATACCTCCTGGGTACCGCCCTGGCTCGGCCGTGTATCGCAAGGTAAGGATAGATACCTCCTGGGTACCGCCCTGGCTCGGCCGTGTATCGCAAGGTAA